TATTTATCAGAGCAAGTCATCTGGCCATATATGATGTCAATGTGCGGGGGAGGAAATTGCAATCATATCATGTGGTAGAAGAAGTAAAAAACATTATGAATAGCACTAGTGACTACCCAAAATTTCTGTGCAAGGCACATTGTTTCATTTATGATTTGCTCTTTTAACTTTAATGGTTTTCTACTATTTTTTTTAAAGAGAGAGAGAGAGAGAGAGAGAGAGAATTTTTAATATTTATTTTTTAGTTCTCGGCGGACACAACATCTTTGTTGGTATGTGGTGCTGAGGATCGAACCTGGGCCGCATGCATGCCAGGCGAGCAGCCCAACGCTTGAGCCACATCCCCAGCCCCATCTACTATTTTTTCTTTATTGGGCATGAACTTTGCTAAATTATTAGCTTCAAAATTATTTTTTCCATATTCAACATGGATCTTATGACCCACATGAAACTGTTCTAGGTTTTCTTTAATATTTTGCACCTTATCTTCTTGAGGGCTTGTTATGGTTGGATATGGATGTTCTCCCCAAACCCCTGTGTTTATGTAGGAATATTCATAAGGTAAATGTTTGGGTGATGCAAGCTGTGATGGAATCAATTCATCCTAGTTTGAATAGACTAACTAGGTAATAACTCTGGGTAGATCAGATGTGGCTAGAGGAGTGCTTTGATCTTCCCTGCAGTCTTCCCCTTGCTTTCTCTCTTTCCTGGCTGCCATGAGCAAAGCAGCTGCCCTCTGCCATGATGTTTTGCCCCATCTTGGGTCCCAACCAATGGAGTCAGCCAACCATGGACTGTATCTCTTGAGACAAAATAAATTTTCTAGTTGTTCTTGTCAAGTATTTTGGTCACAGAAATGCAAAGCTGCCTAACATAGAAACTGATATCGAGAAGTGGGGGGTCATTGCTGTGACTGACCTGACCATTTGGTTCCAAAACCTTTGAGACTGATTTGCAGTAGGAGTTTGGAAAACTTTGGAGATGCAGGCTAGAGAAGGTTGAGAATGCTGTGAGTGGATTTTAATGGGCAATTTGGTTGAAGCTCAGAAGATCAGAATGCCAAGAGAAATGGCATTTCCTGTCAAAATGTAGTTTCTCTTAACATAGATTACTCTGAAAAATATCCTGGCCTTTTCTAAGCAAGCCAGTATAATAAGAATCCATAGTGAACCACTCACCATGATGAAGTGGGACTTATCCTTGGGATGCAAGGGGTGGTTGAACATATGCAAATCAATAAGTGTGATACACCATATTAACAGGATGAAGGACAGATGGCATACATTCATTTTAATAGATGCAGAAGCAGCATTTGACAAAATCCAATATCCATTTTATGATAAATCCTTCAAGAAATTAGTCAAAGAAGGAATGTACCTCAAAACAATGAAGCTATATGTAAAAGGCCTATAGCTCACATCATACTCAACAGTGAAAAGCTGGAAGCTTTTGTATTAGGAATACAAAATTAGGAATAATTTTTTATATTAGAAATGAGATAGGGATGCCCACTCTTGCCACTTCTTTTCAACATAATACATCAAGTTTTAGCCAGAGTAATTGGGCAATAAAAAGAAAAGGTATTCAAACAGGAAAGGAAGAATCAAAATTGCCTCTGTTTCCTGATGACATGATCTTATGTATAGAAAACCCACTAAATACTCCACTAAAAATCTGTTAGAATCGATGAACAAATTTGGTAAAGTTGCAGGATACAAAATTAACACACAAAAGTCAGTAGTATTTTGAAAATACTAACAATGAGTTATGTGAAAACTAAGTAAATAGAACCAATTCTGTGAACATAATAGCTTGAAGAAATACCTAGGAGTAAAGTTAACCAAGGTAATAAAAGATTGCAATACTGAAAACCGTAAAAACATTAATGAGAGGAGTTGATGATACAAATTAAAGGAAATATAACCCACATTCATCTATTGGAAGAATTATTACTAAAATGTCTATACTACCAAAAAATGATCTACAAATTCAATGAAACCCTTTTCAAAATTATGTTATTTTTCACAGAAATAGAAATAACTATCCTAAAATACACATGGAATCAAAGACCACAATTTGTCAAAGCAATCTTGAGCAAAAGTGAGAAAACTAGAGGCATCACGGTAGCTGACTTCAAAATTTATGGCAAAGCCATTGAAATTAAAATAGCATGGTGCTGGTGTTTGAAACAGGCACATCAAACAATAAAACTGAATGGAGAGCCTAGAATAAATATATGTATTTATGGCCAATTGATTTTCAGCAGTGGTGCCAAGAACACAATGCAGAAGGGATGATCTCTTCCACAGTGTTGAGAAAAAATGGATTACATGCAGAAAAATGAAGTTGGATTCATCTCATACCATCTACAAAATTCAACTCAAGATGTACTAATGATTTGAGCATTAAATTTCATACTAGAAGAAAACATAGAACAGGTCAGTGACATTGACCTGGACAAAAATTTATTTTATATGATCCCCAAAGTTGAGCCAACAAAAGTAAAAACAAATGGGATTACATCAAACTAAAAAGCTGTATAGAAAAAGAAACAATAGAATGGAAAATAGACCTCCAATAGAATGAAGAGATAATTCATGAACTGGGAGAAAATATTTGTAAATCATACCTCAGGTAAGAGGATGATATCTAAAACATATAAGGAATTCATACAACTCAAGAGCAAGAAAACAAAATAACCCAATTATAAATGGACAAAGGACCTGAATATATATTTCTCAAAAGAAGATGTACAAATGACCAACAGATATATCAGAAAATCCTCAACATCATTTATCATCAGGAACATGCAAATTAAAACACAATGAGATATCACCTAACACATATGAATAAAATATGTTTAAAGTTATGACCAAAACTAACATAATTCAAAGCAAACGACATTTTGAGAAGAGTTTTTTGCAGTCCATAGTGAAAAGATTTATATGACTATTATATATAGAGAGATCCCATAAACAGAAGATTTAGTCTATTAGAAAAATGGGTAAGTATATAATCAGGCAGTTCACATTCATGCACATGTGCACACACAAAAAAACATGTGAAACCAGTAAACATAAGAAAAGTTGCTACCTCTTAGTGCTATGAGAGTGGGGGGTGTGGACATTTCTAGGTACTACTGGTGAAGTGTAGAATAATGGTACAGCCCTTTCAAGCTAAAGTTTTGGTATGTCTATAAAAAATTTTAAACATTTATATGTTTTAATCCAGCTCCTTCAATTCTTGAAATCTATGTCTAGAAAGGAGAGGAATTATCACTGCAGCACTATTAGTAAAAATGAAAAAAAAAAAATAGAAGCAAGTTAAATGTCTCTTGATAAGTAATAAATATATCTATAGAATGAAACAATATGCATATATTAGAAGAATGAAGAAATAATGAAAAAGCTAGGATTTATTGAGTATTCACTGTGTTCCAGGCACATTTGCAAGTGCTCTTATAAAAGTACATTTACAAATAAGAACAAGAAGATATACACAATGTATTTAGTGAAAAAAGGTTTCAGACCAAAATGAAAATAAATGTGATTAAATAAATTCAAGTATAAATGGACCATTGTAAAGATCCAGACATTTTCATTTCTGTATAAAGCATTGAGTAGACATATAAATGCAGACATTCTGATACAGACATATGTGTGTGGAGAGAGGCAGGACCACTACACTCTAAAATAGTATTGGTCATTAAATCTAGGAATTGGATTAGATAGAAGAGACTTATATTTCTCATATAATTATATGGGAAATATATAAATCATGGTATTGCTGGTGATTTTTAATTTTTTTATGCTTTTCAAATGAAAAGTTAAATAAAAACAGGTCAGAAGTGGTTCAGGAATAGTACTGATCTATTCCACTGTAGGAATCGCTGGATCTGTTGAGTATCATTTTTGGTCAAAAGCTTGGGAGAAGAGCACTGCTTCATTGAAGTGGTCAGAGAGAGTTAGATGTTCTTCCAAGTGAAGGGCCTTGATTCTATCTGTATTAACATTGAAGTATACACTTGAAAAACAGATGATAATCATTTCCCTCATTGAAGTCAACAGTCCCCAGGGAAAAGGGAATTTAGGTAGCTACTGAAAGGGTAAAGTTTCTAAACTGCAAAGCCTGAGTTAAAATGTAAAGGACTAGGTATTGTAAAGTTTCTGAACTGCACACAGAACCTGAAATTCCTGAGGCAGTTAAGACAATGCCCGGAACTGACCATTTAGTTGTTTAAGAACCTAGGACCTTGTGTAGCTTGGCACGTAGGCATTCAGGGCCCAAACCAATCAGTTTAAATGTGTACCCTGCTTAGGAGTGACCAATCACCCCCCCGCCCGACCTGTTCCTGCCAATGAATGTGCTAATCATGTATGAGAGTTGTTGTTCAATTTTCCCACGCCTCATGATGATTTTTTCTGATGTATGCAAAGCCCCCGACCTCCCCAAAAAGTGTACTTAAGCACTGCTTAACCTCTGCTCTGGGCTCTGGGCTGCTCTCCCTTCTTGAGTGAGCACGGACCCAGCATGCTGTATTCTCAATAAATCCCCTTTTGCTGATTGCATGAGCCTGTCTCTTGGTGGTCTCTTCCTCCGATGTTCTCGGGACCCTTACACTACATTTGGGAGCACATTTTGAGAAAATGGGTGGAGGTAGGGTGGTGGTTTGAATTATTGTAGTGTCACATGAGGACTCCAGGTGCCTTGGGGATGAAATAAAGCAAGTGGTAGAACTATTTATTTATTAATTACAATTTTTTACTTTATTTGTATTTGACTTGGGTTCTTGTATTTGTTGTTTGGCCATAAAAATCATTTGTCCCTGAGGTTCAATACCTGTTTTTTTTTTTTTTAAAAAAAGAATGACTGAATGTGAGTACAAGGTCTGGTTTGGAGATAACAAACTGGTATTATCAGTGGTTTCACTGTGCCTTGTCCAGCTTTGTTTAATCTGGGCCAGCATCTCCTTACTGTTTCTCTCCTTTCTATTCTTCCAGTGCTATGAAGAAGAGGAGACAGGGTATGCAGGAGGAAGAAGAAAAGAACCAAGACTACTCTAGTTTTGAATCACTCATTGTTGGAAGTCATTCAGCAGGAGGACTGGCTGCTTGTGTTTATCCCTGTTTGTACTGCACCCCTCTTATTTTTATAGGGGCACTCTGCATCTCTTCAGATTTCAGGATAACTATCCTGTGCCTTAATCTCTTTTGTGTTGCTGTAACAGAATGCCAGTGACTGGGAAAATTATAAAGAAAATAAATTTCTCATAGATCTGGAGGCTGGAAGTCCGACATCAAGGTGCCAACATCTAGTGGGTGTCCTCTTGCTGTGTCATCCTGTGGCAGAAGGTGAGAGGTGACAGAGGTCTCAACTTAATTTTAAAACCCACTCTTGTGGTGAGCCTTGCCTGTGATGGCCGTGTGAATCCAGTCATTAGGGTATAGAACCCTTGTTGGGCAGGGCCCCAGATGGCTATAATTAGGCTCCCTCTCTGAACCTTCCAGTGATATGTGGTTTCATTGTGTAGCCAAGGTAATGAACACTCAGATTCAGTGAATGTACTCAAGGTCCTAAACGTTTGCTTGTGAGCGTGCACCAATTGATGTGACCTGTTAGCAGTGTGCCCTCTTTGCCCTGCATATAAAAAAAAGGCCTATGGAAATAGCTTGAGGGACTAGCCAGGGGCTAAATGAAACTAGCTGGGGCCTGACTAGGCTATTGCTGCCTGTGAGTAAAGGATGACTACCATCCCAATACATCTTTCGTCTTTTCCCACCTGCCAGGAACCCAGATCTGTTTCCAGGGTCTGAGCCTCAGCCGTAGTGCAACAGCCTTCCTGACTATATCACTTCTTAAATCTCCCACCTGTCAGCACTGTTGTGATGGGGATTAAGTTTCCCACAAAGGACCCTTGGAGGACACATTTGAACCATAGCATCCCATGACTTCAGTTTTCTGAGGAGTCCCCCAAGGTCATCAATGTGCTATTTGCCCAGCTTTGTTTCTTGTTGTAAATATGAGAGTCACAGCTCTGAGCTGAAGCCACATTGTGATGATTTTAAATAATCTAATTACGAAAGTGATTTACATGAGATAAATGAAGACAAAGACTAAAGAAAACTTGACAGAAATTGAAAAGATATAAGTTCAGAAGAGATATGTGAGTGATATGATTAAGAAAATAATGTTGACCAAAACCCCATCCATTTTCTAACAGTGACTTTTCATTATTTGTGTGGAGTGGGCATTTACTAATGATAACCTATTTTATTAAAAGTTTTGCCACGCTTTAAAAAATCAAATCCTTTCAGCAATTTGTTTTGTACATGTTCTCTTATTTTTCCCATTAGGAAGAAACTGAGGGGCAAAGAATTTGAGTGACTTGCCACAGTTATACAACTAATGAGTGTTGGAACTGAGATGCCAATAACACTGAGCTGACTCCAGAGCTGTCTTCTTTATATAAATAAAACGAGGCTATCACTTTTTCAGATATTAAAAAGAATCCAGTTGAACAAAGAAAGGACATGCTGTAAGAAATAGTTCAATAGCAGAAGATCCTATAATAGTATTTGAAAGGAGAAATATTCTCATACTGATGAAAGGAAGAAAGGGAAGAAAAACCTGTGAGAATTTTACAGCACCCTCTCCTGACCCAGGAAGACACTTCTAAGAGCTGCATGAAACTGTATTTAAGGTCGACAGGAATAAAGCTGTCCATCTTACTTTTCTTATACATACACCCTTAGACTCCTCTGCATTACTCATTGGCATCTCTAGCTCTTCAACTCCAAAAATTTCACCGAAGCCATTTGAGCATTTTAAGTTTTATTTTAAATTATATCTTTTTTCATTTTAAATGATTTCTTCCTACTGTTGGTAGATGTTGTGTGCATTACATTACAGGAGAATCATTCTCTTTGCCTGAGGAATAAGACCGTGTAAAAGTAACCCATGTTGCATTAGGAAAGTCTTTGTATACAGATACCTGGGAAAGAGTGCTCACAGGGCACAGGCACAAGCACCACACATGAGGAGTGACAGTGTTCAGCTGTGCTTCCAGGAAACCAATTTATTTTGCATAGAAACAAAGTGGAGACCAAAGAAATTATATTAGTGGAAGGCGTATTGGAATGTATTTAAATATATCGGTTGCTCATAAACTGTTAGATATTAAATACATAACATTTAGGTTCTAGGCTTTGTTTCATGACCTGTTAGTGGTGGTGGTAGAGGGGCAGGGAGGAAGGAGAGGGTAGGATAAATAGTTTGTCCATTAGAGGAATTTTAAACTGGAAAACCCAAGAAAATACTTCTTGTTATCAGTTATGCTTCATGTGGACACTGAAAATACCCTGAAAATACCTCCTATAATTTTGATTCTAACACTTTAGGGTACACCCAATGAGGTGTGTGTGTGTGTGTGTGTGTGTTTGTGTGTGTGTGTGTGTGTGTGTGTGCAAATCTTATTGTGAAGTCAACAATTACAGGGAATCCAGGATATTTTTCAGCAGCAATCCTTATTTCAAAATGTAAGCTAGACTTTGAGAATATTTGAATATATCAAATTGTAACAAAATAGCATTTTGTTGATGAGAAAGCCCTTTCCCATCCAATCTGAAATGGATGAAGGCAGTATTAACTTTAGTCCAAATTCAGAGCAAAATCTGCTTCACTCACATTTCTAGGAGACAGACTACATTCTTAAGAAATGTGCATTCTAGTCAGAAGCTCTCGCTTTACATTTTTTTCTTAATGTGGGAGAGAAAGGGCGCTTCAGTGAGTCGAGGTCTTGGCAGCCTCAAGAAGGGCAGGGCACCCATGTCTTGCTGCAGGTGCCAAGGGTCACCTGGTTCCTTTCATTTCAACATTAAAACACTCCTGAGAAAAGAGTCAGGCTCTCCACCTTTGAATATTGCTCAATCATTTCTTTTTACTTCTTGCTTCAGTGAGCCCAGCATGTGGTTTGCAGGGAATCTATTAAAAAGAAAACCCTTCACTGTTCTATGGATGGATTTCGGAGAAATCTATAGTCAACTCATGTTTCTCAATTCCTTCACAACAGCTCTAATTCTCTCAGTCTTGGTGAGGGCATACTAAAAAATTGGTTCCTAATTTATAATTTAACAAGTGACAGAATATTTCGACATTAGCAAAGGAAGGGAATTGTTTTATATATCATCGGTGACTCAAATCATGACCACGGCTTTTCCTTTTTGTCAGTTGTGCTGAGCAGATTGTCACAGTCAAATAACAGCGCTGTTAGAAGTCTAGGCCAATTGTGTTGAAACTTTCTGGGTAAATGAGATCATTTGGGCTCTACCTTATATATAGATTACAGCAGTTGTCATTAAGAATGCCTGCTCCTGGCTGGGTGCCTGTAATCCCAGTGGCTTGGGAGGCTGAGGCAGAAGGATCATAAGTTCAAAGTTAGCTTCAGCAATTTAGCAAGACCCTAAGCAACTTAGTGAGACCCTGTTTCATAATAATAAAATAAGAGCTAGGGATGTGGCTCAGTTGTGAAATGCCCTGAATTCAATCCCCAGTACCCACCCCCACAATAAAAAAAATAATGCCTGCTCCAAACCCCTTCTCTTTTTCTCTTTCTTTTCCTCCTTCTCTGTAACTTTTTTGGTATTTGTATTTGCAACTTGAACTTTGTATTCATCTCTGGGTTTTAACCTCTTGATTTCCATTTTAAAGGGCCACCTCAGCATCTCACCAATATCTCTGCTATGGTTTGGATATGGATTGTCTCTGCTATGGTTTGGATATGGTTTGGATATGGTTCCTGTGTTGGAGGTTTGGTCCTCAGTCTGACAATATTGGGCGGTGGTGGTACCTTTAAAAGGTGGGGCCTCCTAGGAAGGATCTTACATGATTGACATGGGTATCGCCCACAGAAGAGATTAAGGGAGATTTTAAGGGACCCTGCATTAGTTATAAGACCTTTAGTTGTTATAAGAGTGAGCTTGACTCCTGAATTTTTCTGTGGCTTCCTGCCATGTGATCACTTGCTCTCACATGGGTTCCACCATTGTGGTGTAGCCATCATGAGGTCCTCAGCACAGCTCGGCCAATGCTGGTGCCAGGCTCATGAACCTCCATAACTGTGGCCTAAGTAAACCTCTCTTTTTCATAAAGTTACTCAACTTCATGCATTTCATCACAATAATGAAACATGGACTAACACCATCTCCTAAACCAGAGTGAGTAAAGGACGGCAAAAAGCTTGTCAGAGAAGGTGTTAGTTAGTAGTCAGAATAGCCCAGCATAGGGGCTTTTGTCCTGTGGTATGGTAGAGGGCACATTTCTGATGACTATATTCCCCACTCATTTGGATTCTCACACAGAGTTTGGTTTAGCTGGCTTTAAAAAAGAAAAAATTTATGGTAAATCTACTCTTTGAGAAATCCTTGAAAATAAGCTCATCCAGATAATTCTTTAGACCAGAAACTTAAAATTCTGTAGGCAATGCGTGCAACAAACATAATGACATTGAAACTAACATCACTTTATAAATCACGGTGTGAACATATAATACAGATACACAAATTCAGCCCACTGCCTGGCTGGGGGTGTCTCATGTTTTATACTCATTTTGTTTTCCTGCAGTCAGAATGCTTCACTGGGTAATAGAGCTCTCTCTCCTGTGGTCCCTGAGAACCATCCTCCCTGCTGCAGGTCCCATTTTTAGCTAGAGCAAACCTCATCTCATTTAACCAATCTTTTTGTAAGTGGTTGAGTTGAGGAAGTTATTGCTTTCTGTGGTCTAAATTGCCTAACCGAAAGTCATTTTACCTAACTCCTAAGATCCCTGTGGGAAAATCCCAATTGGTCACTGTGTCTGTGAACTAAATAAGGTGCTGCCTGGTTCCTCCTCACAAGCAGAACTAGTTTTAAGATCTTCACTCCCATCACCTTAATTAAACTCGAAAATTTTCTATTTGTGATAGCAAGAAAGGCTACCCAATGTTGCTATTTCTAAATGTTATCACAAAGCATCTACCTTCAGACACAAATCAATTCCATTATAGGATTGTTGCTGGGAAATCTGACTATGCCTCTCATTGACCAAAAAAATATGTTGCAAATTGTGAACCATTTGCAATGAGGTTCTGAAATTTTGTGGTATCCATCAGGTATTGTTTCTTTTGTAAAAGTTAAAAAGTGCTATTTTTTCTTCTTTTCAATATAATCAAATACTTAGGAGGATTGTATAGTAATTATCATTTAAAATTAGGATTAATATTTAACTGAGTATGCAGCAAAATTAATTAGTGGCTTCTGCAATATAGGCATGGATAGTATCTAGCAAAAGCTCTATGTTGTAAAGTTATTTAAGCATATAATGATTACCTTTCACTTGTTCAGGACATTTTTATAGGTAATTCACTACTAAGAAGCATTTATTAAGGCAATTATTAGCATCTTCTGCTTTTATAGTTATAGATAAGCCATCTCATTCCCTACTAGAGAACTTATTATGATCCCCTTTATGTGGACAAGTAAATGGAGGGAAAGATTGAGCCTTAATTGTGTAGTTTGTCTGTTGATTAGTATACAGTGAAAAGATTATGATTATCTATGACTTATCTCCAATAATGCTCAATTCTTTACCATATCAGCAAAATGGAATTATATTTTCAGTAAGAAAAAAAAGTTATCTAATGAGTTTAAAACATGGCCAACCAATTCTTTAGCCATCTTTCATTAAGAGGTGGGCTCTTTGTCCCACTTTCTTGAATCAGGGCTTCATGACAGCTTGACCAGTAGGATACTGTGAAAGTCATATGGCGTGGATCTCTGGTCCAGGCTTTAAAAGACTGGTAGCTTCTACTTCCTTTCTTTTAGGATGCCTGCCCTTGGGACCTAACACCACGTCAGAGGAATCCAAAGCAGCTAGCATGCAGCCCTCATGAGCACACAGCTCTAACTGCACCTGCAGGGAACAGCCAGCTCCAACTTGCCTGAAGGTGGGTCCTCTGGCCCTCAGCTGAGCTGCCCTTGATGACTGTGTGTGGAGTAGATTAGCTGGCCCTGTTGATCCCTGCCCAAATTGCAGCTCCATAAAGCAAAATAAATGATCATTGTGTTTTCAAGCCACTAGGTTTTGAGGTGATTTTTTTTTACACAACAATAGATAACCAGAACATGCTGTAAGGAAATGGCAAGGTTCCCAGCCTCCTTCTCTACTGTGTAACAAAAGCTAGGTGCCTCTCTGAAGCTCACACCCTCATTGCTAGTGGTGTATAAAAGAAGAGCAACTGCCCTAGGTTTGTAGGGGGGCTCCCAGCCTTTTTAAAATGTCAGTGGCATGTTCTTGTTCTGGGATGCTGCGTCACATCACAGCCTCACTAAATGCACTGTCTCCGAGGTGTGGCTCAGCTGCAGCTCCAAAAGAGGCAGCTTTGTCTTTTCCCATGTTGTTTTAGCTCAAACTCGCCACAGGGTCTTGACAGATCATTTGTTTCTAATGAACCTATTTCCTCACCTGTAAAATGAGAGGGATTGGATAAATGTTCTCTCGGATCCGATCCTCCCAGTTCTAACACAGTATTATTTTTACCACACATAATCTAAATATGAAGACTCTAAATCTAGCTGCATGATTTGGAAATCTGAATCTTTGCTGGCCCCTCCAAAGGACTCCCCACTTTGTGACCCAATGTTCTTTTCTTTGTAGAGAGTGTTTCATTCCTAGCAAGGGTTGAAAGTAAAATTCACTTGGCCTGAACCCGAATCTCTCCAAGTAACAATTTTTTTTTTACATTTTCCCCCAATTATCCCTATATATTTGGAAACCACGGTCCAAGAGACACAGCTTGTGTGACACATCGTCAGCACTTGATTTCTGAATGTGCCACTTCCTTACAAAACTTTAGAAGAGTAGCTTAATGTTAATGATTATAACATTCTTTTATTTCTGTAAAATTTTGTGTGAAAGCAATAAACTTTAATTTTTATCTGAAAACTGAAATTTGCTTGTCCTTGAATTAAAATATATATGAATCATGATGATTTAGTGTAATTTTCAAAAACCCTAGTGGCTACCCTTATTGTATGGGGTTGTATTTAAAAATTATTTGTTTAAAAATACATTTTTATTTCTAATTGACACGTAGTCATTGTACACATTTATAGGGTACAGTGTGACATTTCCATACATATATGCATTGTGATGATTAAGTCAAAGTAATTGGCCTGTCACCACAGATGTTTATCATTTCTTTGTTCAAAATCCTCTCTACTATTTTGAAATATACAATTAGCCCTTGTCAATCATAGTTATCCTACTGTGCTAACATTAGAAGTTCTTCCTCCTATCCAACTTACCCCATACCCATGAGCCTCTCTCTATCCCTTCACCCCATAGTCCTCACAGGATCTGTCCAGCCTAAATAAGAGTGAGGCCCTTAGATACTGTCTCCCCCGCCCCACCCCCCAAAATATATATATGTGTGTGTGTGTGTGTGTGTATACACACGTACATCCATATGCATATATATATGTATATATATACATATATATATATTTTATTTTTTAACAACATGGAGCCTTTGCAGGATGGGATGTGGCTCAGTGGTTAAGCACTTTGGATTCAATCCCTAGTATACACCCACCCAGCAAAAAAATAATTAAAAAAAAGAGATACAAATAAGAAAGCAACCTAGGAGCTGAGATGAGGAAGCTTTGTTGGGCAAGTAAAAAAGGGACTAGGATCACTGACTTCACAGAGCTGTTCAAAGATATAATACATTCACAGTCTGATACTTAGTGAACTTTCAACTAAGACTGTGCTCAGCCAAGGTTATTTTCATGAGAATTGTTGAAATATATAATTTTGGTCTTGCATATGGTACTTTCCTATTTCTATATCAGTTTCTGTAGTCTTGAATGCCTTACATTAAAAGGTTGTTGTTTACTATGTATACCTCTTTTGCTCAAGTGCTTGATGAAAATTGACTGATTTTGGTTAAATTTGTCTTTTGTTTAAATAATTGTTCTTTACAAGAATACAAGTTAACATACATGTAATGGATAATTTATTCCAAGAAAATGCCTGAAGAGATGAATTGTGGCATAACATTTGTAAAATTCATAACATAAATTTGCAATATTATTTTACTGAATAAACATTTTAGTATGAATATATTATTGTTCCTTGAGGACATTAGTCATCTAATGCTGTTTTAACAAATTTTGCCCAAGTTTAGTGCTTAAAACTACATAAAATAAATATTTCCTGTGGGTCATAAATTTTGGAATGTCTTAGTTGGTGGTTTCTCACTTGGGTTTCATAAGACTTTTGATAGGCTTTTGGCTGGGGCTGCACTCATCTGAAGGCTGGAATGGGGGCTGTCTAATTTGCTTCCATTAGTTGATTCATATGCTGATGAGCTGATGCCGGTGGCTGTCAGGAGGTGTCAATCTTGGCCTCATAGATCTTGCCACAGGAATGCTTCAGTGTC